ATATATATATATACATATATATACTATATATATATCTTTGAATAAACTCAAGACTCTTGTTATAAAAAATCGAAAGGAAGACCCAATTTGTTTTATTTATAAATCCATTGTGAGTATATATGAAATATGATTAATTTATTATTATTAATATGACTGATGTACATTATTATTATTATTATTATGTGGCTGCATCATGGCCACTAAAATCGCACCACATGCCCCACAAAGTGGGTCAACTTCTCGCCCCGTATGGCAAAGTAGAATGGATGATCCGCCCGAAAGAACTTTTGACGCGACGAATTGCTAATCACAATCGGCTTGTAGCCTAGAAGAAGAGAAATGACGAAATATAGTATATGTATGGAATACTCTCCGACACCAGAGTGGCCCTGTCTATTGCACTCACCTGCTGCTGGCGGCGGCAACTCGGAGCCGGAGCCCGATTCGTTCAGGTCAATGCGCAGCTTGTGCAGCACATCGACAATTGGCTGATTGGCAACTGAATGCAGGTGCTTGAAGTTGGCAGAGCTCTCAAAGATCTCCGAGAAACCCAGCTGTGGAACGTATATTAAAGGCGAGGATTGATTAAGAGGTTAATGTAAATCAAATACAAATAAATTCAATTACAACAGCCCTCGCCAAAATGAATATTCAGTTAGCTTGCCCACCTGCTTAAGCGCCTGCCGCAGACTGCACTCAAAGTCAATGGAGAACTTGGGCAGCAGCACCTGAACGCTCTCCACCTGCATGCGCTGCTGCAGTGCGGCCAGATCGACGGCTCGCAGCTGGGCCTCCAGCTGGGCCAGGGCCGAGGCGTCGCGGCTGTTGGGCAGGATTAGCAGCATGGCCAGTTCGTCGGCATGCTCGTAGGGCAGCTCGATGGCACGCGCGTCCAGCTCCCGCAGCTCCGCGTACTTCACGAACATGTCGTCGTCGAAGAGCATGGGCACTGGCTTCGGCTCGCCCGTGGAGTTGTGGAACTCGTAGAGGCCGGTGCGGTAGGCGCTGAAGGGCAGAAACCATTTGCTGTGCAGGCGCGCCGCGAGCAGCAGCAGCAGCAGCTGCTGCGCCACCTGGCTGACGTTCACCTGGAGCGGCTGCTGCCAGGTGCCGCCGCCCACGCTGGCGAGCATGCTGTCGGCGATGTAGCGGCGCAGCTTCTCGGACTGCTGCAAGTCGAGGCACTCGGCTGTCGCATGGAAATACGTTTGGGCAATCTTCTGGAAGTCATCCGCGATGCTCGCGCCGGCGCTGGCTTGCAGCAGCAAACGATTCTGCAGCTGGATGCGTGTGTCCGGATCGCCGGTGGCTGCAGCCAGCTCGGCTGCATAGTAATTGGCCATCTTAGCATTGCTGGCGAAGCGCTGCTTCAGCTTCAGCAGCCGCTGCAGCTCCTCCGCCGTCGTCCCATCGGAGCCCAGGTAGAGCAGCGCCAGCGTCGCCTCCAGCAGCAGCGGCGATACAATCACATTCTCATCGGCCGCGGCGGATGCGATGCTGTGAAAGATCTCGGCGCCCAGATTGAGCTCAAGTGGAGCGCCAGACGCTACTGGAGCAGGCGCTGCACTCATACTGACAGAGCGGCGGAAGGGGGCTGAGCAAAGGGGAGCTGCGGAAGAAGAGAGGGAGAGAGAGAGGGAATTAGTATTAGTGAGCGACGAACACTGTCAAGAGCAGCGGCTGGAGGTGCGGCTGTGAGAGTGAGAGCATCGAGCGCCCTGTGCTTACTCTCCGCTGCCCGCTCCCTGCTTGAGCTAGCTGTGCTTAGTGCTTGAAACAATGAAATGAAACAGTGTGAAATTGAACCTGAAGACGTGCGGAAGCATTTGGGTTGAAGTCCTCAACAATCATTTTAATAGCGGATCCAATAAAAAATATATTTATTAATACTAATAATATATACATAAATAATAATTTAAATATATATTTTTTTGTATAATATATATATATAATATATATATACATAATGATACATAAATAATAATTTAAATATATATTTTTTTTATTATCAATAAATTATTATTTATACCTTTTGTGGCTATGAGTAAAAAAAAAATCATGAAAATTATAATAAAAATAAAATATCGCTAATAAACTAAAAATAAACATTTAAAGATGAAATTTAATAAAAAGAGGTAATAAAAAAAATAATTAGATAAATAAAATGGAAACTAAATATAAATAAAAATCAATTAAATAATATTTAAATGTAAATAAAATCCATGTAGTAAAATTACAATGAAAATAGAAATATATAAAATTTAAATTTCATTGAATGTAAGAAAATGTTTTTATTAATTAATTCTATTAATTATTATTATTTATATTATTTCTTTTACAATTTTTTTTTTACTCTTCATGGTAAACACAAAATTTAAAAAATAAATAATAATATTATTATTATTATAAAACAAATATCTGATGGGGCAGTCCTATTTGTTTAATAAGGCGTTCTCTTGTATAATTTAGCTCTATATATATTTTATACACCCAACAATTATATATGTATATTCTATTCAAATTTTCGGTTTCTTGGTATCATTATTCGTTTCTCTTAACAATGTTATTTTGTATTGCTTTTTAATTCTTAGCTTCTGAGTAATTACCCACTTAGACTTTTTAAACACTTTATGTGTTTAATGAGCCATTACGGTACGATTATCATATAAGGCGCTTAACCTAGACAGGGCTCACCCCGCCTTAGGCTGGAACATTACGAGTCTTAAGCAGCTGTCTGTGAAGTTCCGCCGAATACGTTGTAGCACTGGCATGAGCGAAGCTAAGCCGTTAAGAGCAACATTTAAAAAATTTAATTGTAATATTTATATATCATATATTTTTTCATTTATATCAATATCAAATAATGAAAACTATTTTTTTATGAATATTGATCTCCAACTGTTATATTAAAGTTTCAGTATGAGATTTCAATTAAAAATTATGTTCACAAAATGCCTAGATACCCTCATTATGATCATCTCTGATAATATTATGTAAACATAAATTCTGTGTATAAATTATATATTTATTTTTTTAAACAGTAAACAATTTTATATCCGTCGTTTGTATTCTTCAGATATGATCGTGAATGTAAATAAAAGATGGTTTAGAGTACAGTGAACACACGCACATAATGGCTATCAATATGTGCCCTTGCAGCCTAATGCGAAACACATGTGAAGAATTTTATTAAAATATGACTTTTCTTATAGTGTTGAGATCAAAATTTTATAGCCTAGCACAAACATGTGCCGTATAGCTGGATATATATAGGTATATTAAATGGCTAAGGGAAGTACAAAGATATTTGGACTTTGTATCCGATAAAAGTATGAATATATTGCTATCCCATATTGAGCACTGTAAAATACTATTTTTATATATTTTCTCATTGCTCGAATTATAATGTACACAGATTCCAATTGGCGCTCGATGCGTTTTATTCAATTAGAAAATCTTTGGCCATGGCCTAAAAACTTTGCTTCCTTATAAACATTCGATTTCCATTTCATTCGTTTTGCTAGGTTTCATAGGGCATGAAATGAAATTTGCACGCATTGCGACTGCTTGACTTGCGAATACTGTGAAAGTATATAAATGATATAGAATGTGAAAATCTTTTAGTTAAGGTTCTCAAATATGGGTTACAAAATTGTAGATTGTGTTGAGATATGATTGTCAGTTTATTTATCTTATCTTGGAGCTATCAAAAAATGTAAAACTTGATTATTAAAGGGGTTATTCTATTGAGATCAGTTTATACACCCTTTATGGAGTATACAAAAATATTTTTTAAATGTGGGTTACTTTTATTTTTACCATCAGGCTGCTCATCACCCTCTACACTCTGTATTCCAAACTTCAAGTCTAAATTTCCACATAGCTGCACAAAACCAATATACTCTTTACTTTTTGTGAACGAGCATACGAAAACAATTGCCAGCAGCCAGCCCAAAGAACTTGACACGATTCTCGCTTAGCCCTCAAGTACATAACAACCGCGAGAGCATAGAACGGAAAGACTTTTTGACATTGCGCGGCCAAACAAGCAAGCATACTCTTATAAATATAATATACAGTATGTATATATATATAACAGATATACATATATTCTTATCTTATACACTCACATATATTATTTACGTTAAGTTTTAATCTCACGCGAAATTCCCTCAATAAGATTTCTACAATGTCGCCCCCACAAAACCAAAAAAAAAAAAAAAAACAAAAACAAAATTTAGAAATTCAAGTTCTGCTAATAAACAAAAGCTGAACTAAGAAACGCTGTATAATTCTAGACATTTTTTCAAATATATAGACCGTATATATCAATGAAAATGATTAATGAGCAATTTTTAAATATACTCTGCTAAGTAGAGATTTCATATAAATTATATCACTAATTGAACATCTTTGCATTTGCTCATATAGATTACATTAAATTATACAATTTTGCACAGGGTATTAAGATAGTCATTAGGTACATCGACTGGCTGCGCCTTCTAAGTAGCACTACGGCAGCGCACTCTTAAATGTTTATTGTTTATTTTGGGTGTGCCAATTTTTCTGTGTGTTTTCTTTAGGAAATTAATTACATCATGAATTTGTCAAAAGTGTTTTTCTTCTCCGGCTTCCAGCAAGCCGATAAAAAAAAAAATGTTCTTCTATTTAGTATATTTTGCAAAATGTAGAGCATGTTTACAGCTGACGCTGAACTGGACTGAACGGGACGAGGCGGCCGGGTATTGGAAGCGAGTGCCAGATGGTAAATGCTCTCTAGATTTTCAATGGCTAAGCATGAGGTCACAGCATTAATTCTGTAGTGATCATTATCATTAGCGAAGATCATAATCGCGATTTAGATAGTAAGAGGAAACACAAAACGCCTATATATGTATTCAATATAAACTTAATTGATTTGTATCTATTCAATGAAAATTGTTACTTTGTTATTCCAAATCTTTTAAAGATACAAATATATACATATGTATATATAGTTTTTAAATATTATATATAAAAAATAAAAAATGAATATATTGTATTATATATTTGTAAACAAAATTTAATTATATTATAGATACACAAACATATTTTTTACTCATTTTAAATGATTATTATTTAAATGTCGCTTATAAATGTTCTATTATTTGCTATTATTTTTGGAATGGATAACAAATTTAAATATTATTTTTTTTATATAATTATTAATTTTATTTATATAATATATATGTTTTCATAAAAATGTATAAAAAGTTGTATATTTTAATTACGTACATACATACATACATACATACATATTTAAATATCGTTTATAAATATTTAATGATATTTCCAATTTCGCTATAACATTTTTGAACATGTCAAAAAATTGTATATTTTTTATTATTGTAACCAATATATATTTTATAAAATTATTAAAATATTTAAAAATTTAAATTTATTTTTAAAATATCTGTATTTTAGTAAAATAATAAATCAGAATTTTTGTTTGTTTCATATATCAATGAATGTTGTAATTTAATATAATATTTATATATGTAAGCACATAAAACACTTCCGGCATAAAACATCGAATCGGATATACCTTATATATATTATCGCTTCACTTGGCAGCGCACTTTTAGTATATTTTCAAATAAGATACGATTATCTATTGCTCGGGAGCACTAAGAATAAAATGTTTAATGAGAAAAACAAAAACAAAGATAGACGCCCGCACGCAGCTTCGCACAGAATCGAACTAAACGCGCTCGGCCAGAGCGGCGCAACACGAAAATTATTTGAAAGAGTCTTTAATTAAATTGGGCCGACGCTCTTCATTGATGACGACACTTGGACAACGACAACATCAACATCAGCAACGATGCGACGCGACGGCGGATCGGAAAGCTCTGGCTAAGTTTCGAATTTTCCGCAACTACTCTGGCCTGCCCGAACACTACAAATTTCGAATCTATTTTTATAATTTCGCTGGTCGCGTTCGCGTATTCCATTCAAACGAACTGTTAGCCAACCGACCCCAGAGGGGGGGCGCATTATTTTTGTTGCTGTAGTTGGCTTTGGCGCTGGAACCACTCAAATTGCCGCTGATTGGGATGCTGCACGCCAAGCGATGCGACGCCTGATTGAATTGTGTCATGCAGCTTGCGCTTTGTTTCCACAGTTCTATTGTTTAATCAACTAATCTAATCTAACGCATTTGGGTCGCTATGCTCCAGAGTAAAGATATGGCGACATCATATACTATCAAGCAGTTTTAATTGCTCAAGAGCGAAACTAGCTACTCTCTTAATTACTAGATTTCTCTCTCCTTTTCCTCTGTTTCCACAATATTTAAAATACTTATTTAATTTTTAAAATCTAAATACACACATTTAAATAATTTTTTTTTGCATTCATGGAAATTGTATTTCGGTTTCTATAACATTAATATAAGGATGAGGACACATTTTGGTGTTGCGTTGTTTGCATGAAATGTTAAAAGTGTGTATGTGGTTGTGAGTGCATTATTTGCAGTGTATGGGTTCATTTTTCGTTCACAAAATACGTTAATAAATAAATATACTAACAGCCTAAATATATAATAAGCCAAAAAACGGATATCGTGTGTGTGTGTGTGGTGGAACTAGCACACTCCAAACAATTCAATTGGCCATGCAAACGCAGTAGGCAGCGTCCTTCGTGTATACATTGTGTGTGTGTGTGTGGTGTGCATGGACGATTCCAAATTTACAAGGCACCTCCACCTGCCAAGCACAGCTAGGTCAGGTTCCGAGGTGCTTGAACGAATACGAATGTGTGTGATTTAGTGTGTAGTTTTTTTTTAAGAGGCGATAAACAAGGAAACAAAAACTAAGAACGCGCCTAAAATGCGATTTCATGGCCGCATGTGGGACAATGCGGAAATGCACAACAAACAACAATAAATGTGTGTGGAGAGGCGGCAGAGGCACGGATGCAAAAAAGGGTTTGCCTCTGCCGGCCTGCAGCCAGTTTCGTTGTTGTTTGTTAAGGTTCTTGTGTGTTCGATACGATATTAGAGTGACAAACTAACAGGAGTGTGTTGTGAATATTTTGTGTAATATCTTGCTAAGATCGTGTGCTTTTCTCTCTAGGATTGTGTGGCGCGGTCGCATAACAGAAGTCGTATGCGTGAGGCTACTAGCCTATCTGAAGGGTGTTACGAGCTTATGGGAATGTTGGAGTGCATGTGTGTGTGTGTGTGTGTGTATGTGTGTGTTTTATGTTGATGGCTGGCATTTATGTTAATAGTGTTAAAAGGTGTAGCCGCCCTCTGGTGCCTTGGGCTGCGTGGCGTTGAACTCCAGTGCGCCATTGACCTCCTGTGGCGCCAGCTCCTTTTCGGCCTCGTCGTCGCCAGCACTGAAGTATGTATCTATTATGGCGTAGGCCTTCTTGTAGACCTCCTCGTTCTCATGCTGCTGCAATGCTTCCAGTTTGTCGAGACCGCCAAGCTCCTCGACCATGAGGCACAGATTCTCTGTGCCGCCCAGCTTCTCGGCGAGCGCAAACAGATTGGACAAGCCAGTCTGGACCACTTTGATTGTTCGCGGATCTTTGGCCTCGAGCAAGTCAATAAATGGCTTCAGTATCTTGTACTTTTCGATCAGATCAACAATCTGCTCGGGTGTGCCCGAAGTGGTGGTATTGGTCACAGCCCAGGCGGCCTCCTTTTGTGCCTTGAAATCGCCTTTCTCGAGCACATGGCGTATTTGCACAAAGATGCCCGCATCGATGACAGCCTGAATCTGTTTCTGATTGCCAGCCGTGATGTTGCTCACGGTCCAGGCAGCCTCCTTCACAATGTTGCCCTTGGAGTGCTGCAAGAGCATGCCAAGCTTGGGCAAGCCACCAGCGGCTATAACCACATCGGTCTGCAATTGGAAAATTGAAATAATGAGTAAAGCTCACAGTGAGGACAGCTAAAACACTTGGAAGCCATCCATCATGTTGACAGACTCGTGACTGACCTGCTGATCCGTTCCGGTCACAATGTTGCCCACGCTCCGCAGTGCCGGCACAATGATGCTGGGCTCATCAGTCTGCAACAGCTGCACCAGACGGGGCACTGCATTCGTATCGACGACTGCCTGTATCTTGTTGTTTTCATCGTCCGTCACATAGGACAAGGCCCAGCAGGCATCGGCCAGCACCTGTATATCCTCCTGGTAGACCAGCAACTGCGACAGCACCGGCAACAGGCGCTTCACCTGGTCAAAGGGCGGCGACGGATTCTTGTTGCGGCACAAATTCGACATCAGCCAGACAATGTTGCGGAGAAACGACAGCGGCGTCTCATTATTGATTAAACGCAAAATGCCATCGATGACATTGTGCTGGATTACAATGTCACGCGCAGCCGGGCCATCGCCGGCAATGTTGCCCAAGGCCCAGACGGCCTGCTCGGCGAGATTAAGCGACTTCGACTGCAGCAGCGCTATGAAATGCGGCACGGCATTCTGTTCGATAACGCAGCGTGTCTGATCCGAGGTGCCCGATGCGATGTTGGTCAAAGCCCAGGCAGCCTCAAATTGCAAAAGAGGGCTGACCGTACCAGAGAATGTTCGAGATGAGCAATGTCTTCCCACACATATACCATATCATTGTTTACTTACTTGCTGGTGTTCTGAAGGAAGCGAATGCAGATGGGCACAATACCATGGCTGATCATCACATCAATAGGTGGATTACGTTCGCGGCTGAGCATCTTGCGTGCCTGCTGCATGCCCACGAATTGGCGTTCCGGATCCTCACTATTCATGGCAGCGACGATTTCGTCCACCGACAGCAGCACCGGCGACTGCCCATTGAGTTCCTTCAACGGTGAGGTTAGGTCCTCATCATTGATGTTGCGGCGCTTGAACAACTGATCCTCCTTCTTTGACTTGCGCAGCTCGATGGTCACCTCATGGCGGCGCATGCGCGAGTCCTAAACGGTCGCGGCACAATTCGAAAGTGAGGTTAAAGCCGATATGCAGTTTTTCAAACGCGCGCGCTACACCTACCTGCATATTAAGAGTGTTGGCCTTGTAGTGGCCCTGGCGAGTGTTTGCATCCGATTTATTCATGTTTGATGTAATTTTTGATGTGGTTTTTCTATTTCAAACAATTTTAAAATGTTTCTGCTTCGATAACAAGTGTACAGCTGTAAAGGAAAAAAGTGTTTTGTGAGAGCCTGGTGGACAGTGTGAAACAAACTCGAGAATAAATTCTCAAGGGCTGTTTCGATTATCACACACACACACGTGCTGTAAGAAATGCGTTGCGTTTGTGTGCGTATTTTTTGCATTTCTTTTGTCTCTGACAGTTATTCTCTTTTCTCTTTATCGACTGCCGTTGCTGCGCGCTCAACACAAGGCCAAACCGGCGGCAGCGGCAGGAACAACAACAAAGCAACAGCTGCGGCTGCGTTTAACTGTGCCTAAGAACTGGCCCGCAAGGGAGACTGAAAGTTCAGCGCCATTTGCGGCTTGGTTTTTTTTTTTCCTTTTGTATGTATATTTTTTTATTTATGTCTATATATTTCTTGTAACTTTTGCACTTACCTTACTTAATTTGGCTGTATTTTAAAAAACAGTTCACTAATTTGGGTGTGCTAAGTTATCATTAATGGTTTACAACTAAAAATTTTTTAGCTAAAAATTTGGAAAATCCAAAAAAGTTGTGCGTGTTACTGCTTTTAAAAACGGAATAAAACTGAAGAAACTATAGTTGAATACTTGATATCACACGAAAATGGATTTCAAGGCTTGCTTTGCTCTCGTAAAGATCCGTTTAGTTTGAACGAGATGCTTGACTTTTGTAGCGATGCGTGCTGTATCGATATATTCCTTTAGTTGAGTGTGCGATAACTGATTCTGAAATGCAATAGTTTATGGGAAATTTTTAAATTTGATTATGGCTGTGATTATAATAATATAAGTTAAGTGTACATATTATATTGTACACATTTTCAAATAACTTGTCAAATTAACTTAGTTTCAACAGTGCGCTGTTAAACTCTAAATGGCACTGCACACGATCAACACGATTCAGTAATCGATGGTTAATGGGTGATAAACCAGTAGATGGCGCTATTCGCTGAGAGTTTATATTTGATTTATAAATATGGTATTTAATAATATAGTACTTGAATATTTTATATGTGCTTAATATGAATAGTGTGAATGCTTATTCTTAGTGTGCCGGCTTTTTGTTTAATCAGCACGAGTAATCGCTTAAATAGAATCCACAAGTTTGCAGCCAAGACATTTACCATCCACAAGCGCGGAATCTGCATAAACAGCAACGCAAATGAAATTACCTATGCAAGCGTGGCGCGAACGAGGTATATTCGTTTTCTATTGCTGTTTCTCTTTTTTGGAAGCGCATATGAAGCGTAAATACACACGTTGAAGAGCAACTTTAGTCTTATCAGCCTTTTTAGGCGAGAAATGAAGATTTGTAGTTGCAATTTGATGAAAATCGACCCATAATACTATAGACTATGTAAATAACAGATAATATACATATGCAAATTTTAGGCTGACTTACAATATATCCACTGGATAGACCAATCGCACTTGGAAAATTGGTTTCTCTTCGAAAATCGCAATAAAGGTAAATAGAAATTGAAGTAATTTGATGCTTCTACAAAATGTATTAGATGCTTTTGAAGTAATAGACAAAGGATTACGACAACTTGGAAAAAGTTTTGACCTCATCCCAAGGGATGACAGAAAAAAAAACATTTGACTTGAAGTTTCGACATTCGGCTTTAATTTCAACAAAGTTTTGTGGAATTTTGCAATGGGATCATAATCTAAGCGGACTTGTTGTCCTGGTTCTTCTTGTTCTCCTCCTCGGTGGCGGCAGCTGGAGCAGCGGTGGTGCTGCTTGACTCCTGCGCGGAGCGGGCCTCAACCACATCGCTGTCCGAATCGCCAGCAGGAGCGGGCGAAGCGGATGGGTAGGGTGGGAACTGCTGATCCTGTGGGTAAACCTGCTGCTGCTGCTGCTGCTGTTGTTGCTGCTGCTCCGAGTAATCAACAGGTGCTGGCTCCTGTTCGGGCTGACGTGGTGCCTCGACCACTTCGCTCTCCTGTTCGACGTTCACTTGTTGCTGCTGTGGCTGGAACAGCTGCTGCTGGAAGAGCTGCTGCTGTGCCTGGGGGTAGTAGATGGGCGCGGGCAGATGAGTCACAGGTGCAGCTGCCACGGTAGCCACGGGCAGAGCGCGGGCAGCCACGGGCAGGGCGCGGGCAGCCACCAGGGGCACACGCTGCACCACCGCATTGAAGCCGTTGAGGTCGTCGGCTGTGTAGGTGACGGTGCGCTTGTAACCATCGGCATCGAGCACGCTGTAGGAGCCAACCACATTGCCACCATTGCGACTCTCCACCTGGCTCTTGATATCGCCGGTGAGGGAGTCATGCACGCCATAGGAGAAATCGTAGCGAGGCGACGACTCCAGCTCCACCTGCTTGACAACGGGCGCCAAAGGAGCGGCAGCAACAGTTTTCACCACGGCAGCAGGAGCGGGCGCGGGGACGGCAACGGGCGCAGCGGCTGCGTAGGTGGCAACTGGAGCGACGGCCTTGACAAAGGGCGAGGGCACGGCATAGGACTTGGCGAAGACTGGAGCGGCCACCGCCTGTTGGTAGACAGCAGCGGGAGCGGCATGGTAAACCGCTGGTGCCGCCTGGTAGGTGGCATAGCCAGGATGGAAGCCCGAGTAGGTGGCCGCAAAGCCGCCCAAGGAGCTGCCGCTGAGGGCCAGAAGCGAGAGAGCTGTCAAGAACTGAGGATGATAAAGGGAAAATGAGTTTTAAATGAGATTTTCTAGAAGAAAAAAAAAAAGGTGATAATAATAAAATAAAATATATACTAAATAATAGTCTAGAAATTACTGGAGATCTCTGCAAAAAATGCTTGATTTATATGGTATATGCTAGGAAAGGGAATTTGAAGAGTCGGTAGCTGATCCTAAAAGCCAATTAAAACAATATAAGGAAGTGCTGTAGAAAACAGTTAATGTTGTTGTCGGAAATATGTAGATGAATCCATAGATAAAGGAAGCTT